GTGTAAGAGCTCCGAGAAAACAGAACTGTTAAGACATCAGACAGGAGATCCAGTAGGCCAGAGGGCTTAAAGGAAGCACCCTTGTGCCTGAGAAGGACAGAGATTGTGGAGAAGAGAGGAGAGAGCCATGTTTCACATGGCAGAGGCCTTGGGCTGATCAGATGGAGGTTCGGGCTGTGAATAATCAATCACGGGTAGGAAACAGAAGAGCTGCCATAAGTCATGTGTTGCTCTGTCACGACTGGTGCAGCACGTGAATCGCTTTCCTTCTGTTTCAAAAGAAGAAACTATTTTCTATAGGTTTGGTTTCCTCCTTATAGCCATGAGCAAGCCACAGGGCCAGGGCTTTGGGGAGAATTTGCATCTGTCTTCTGATACAAAACTCTGGGCTGTTTTGCTGATATTTGAGCATGGCCTAATGAAGTATGGGGCCTGGGATGGGTGGCACTTTTAATTATATTCAAAATAGCTTTTGAAGAATAAATAAACAAACAAATAACCAATATAACAAATGAGTAACTGTGGATGCTTGGAAGGATGTTTTCAAAATTCTTCACCACTGAGTGGTGGAGCCCATGCCCCTGCCCCTTGAACCTGGGCTCTGTGTTGCTTCGACAGTAGGTGCAGTGGGCTGACTGTCCAGATTCTCAGCCCAGGCTAAGAAACTGGCAACTCTTACTTCCTGCCTCTTGGGATACTTTGTCTAGGACCCCAGACACCATTCTGTGAGGAAGCTTAAGCCACTTTATGGGGACACCACATGGAGAGGGCCCGATAGCCAGCACCAACGTGCCAGCTCAATGATGCACCATCCTGAAGCAAATCCAGTTGAGTTACGTCAACTGACACCACATGGGACAGGGCCAAGCTTCCTGCTGTGCTCTGCTCAGCAAAATTGTGAACAAATAAGTGTTATTTTAAGCCACTGAGCTTTGGGGTCATTTGTTCTGCAGTAATATGAATAAGTATTATGATATAGAATGATGTAAGCCACAGTTATTTCCAGGTCTATCGTTACTGGAGTGAAAGCCTCATGGTACTGGTAGTTAGATTCAATCAAAGGTTAGAAGCCTCAGGTTCCTTATCTGTAAAGAAAATAGTGTCCATCTCATGCTTATGTTTGAGGATGAAGTTAGATATGCAGAGTGGCTAGTGATGTTCTTGTCAGAGAGCATGCCTCGACCAGATGGGTTTCCTTCTACCTCTCTTACCCCACTTCCCATCCCCAGGAGATGATGGATTTTTTTTTTGGGGGGGGGGTTTGTTTTCAGAAGTGATCTAGATGGATGAGACCTTAGTGATAGTCATTGTCCCAGACAAGAGGAAGGGGAGACCTAGTGTTCAGGGGAGGGCCAGAAACAATCTTGCACGGTCTGGACTTTTTTAAAAAACAACAATTGTGTGTGTTACCTTTCACCAAAGGGAACAAGTAAAAACATTTTTACAGAAATGGCCTAGAGGTAGAAGAAAAAGTGTACTTTCCAACGTTGAATGACTTTCCAAGAAGGGCAGGTCTTAGGGCAAAACACAGGTTTTAAGTTCCTTGTTTTATAAAAAGGGGACACTGGCTCTGAGATGGGAAATCAACAGTGGGGCTCCTCCCCACTTCTTGGGCTGCTGTAGGCACATTCCCTCCTGGCACTGAGTGATCTGAACTCTAAGCACTCTTGTCCCATCAGGCTGTGACACAAACCTTAGCTGCAGTGGGTAGAGAAGACTCTTTGGGAACCAGACAACTGATAAGGAAAAATCCAGGAGCCAGCCTCTTTCTGAGCCAGGAGAGCCACTCCTCTGTCAGTAGAGGAGGCAGGGATGGGCCCTAGTGCCGGTCGCTCTGGGCTTGCTTCCCTTCTCCCTCAGCTGGCTGTGAGGCGTGGAGCACAGCACGTGTTCCCTCGAAGCACTGAAGCATTCACCAGTTATCATCTTTCCTTCCAGCTGCAAGGCTAGATAATAAACTGTAGAATTTGATTTATATTTTATTTCATTTAAAGACTGGAACTTGCACTTGAACTGAACCCCAGTGCAGAAGGTCTTAACTTCTGGCAGGTGGGTCAGGACCAGCGGGTGGAAATGGATGAGAGATAATACCTTGACTGATGCTTAGGACGATCCGTCAGTGGCGGCCCATATGGGAGTCAGTAAGAGGAAGGTGAGGACTCTGACTCTGGCTTCTGGGTCCTTTGTTCTGGAATTTATAGATGGGCTTCGATGAGCTCTGAGGCCGTTTCTGTGCCTGACCATCTGATGCAGATTTAGTCTCACTTTCCTCCCCCTCACTCCCACCCTCCTTTCTGTGTGAACCGCTCCCTAGACGGCTGCTGCTGGGTGTGTGGATGCTGAGCTTGCTTTGCCCAATTCCCTCTGCCCAGATCAAATAGGAACAGATGCCTGCTGGAAAAATGAATTGAAACCGGTAATATGACATGAGTTATTGAATTGTTTTGATGGACTCCAGAGCCTAATACAGTCACACCTGGCAGCCACAGCCTCAGCTTTGTCTGGCTGAATATTAGCTTTGGTTGAGCTATAACAGAGTCCCTCACTCCAGGGACTGCCCCTGGGCCCTGAGAGCTGCCACTCTCCACATCCCTGGCAAAAGTACTTTTGTAGACTTTTACTTTTACCTGTGATCAAGGCCTACTTATTAGTATCCTGCCAAGTTATTAAGGGCTAATAAAACCGGGCATTTAAATCAGAGATGCGCCGAGTGACAACATGCCAAGTGGTGAAACTCAACCATCAACTGATCATTGCCGTCATAGACTAAATTGCTAGGATATAAAAATAAATTTGAATCTTGTTAAAAATGTGATCATTATTGATTTTTGGTGGTCAGACTTTAAGTTTGATAGACTGCTGCTGTAATCATCCTTCTGTGAACATTTGGATGTAAGATATTTGCTCTCTTTCCATTGATGACGTTAGAACAGAAGCATAACCAGCATGGAGTGCTGCTGAGCAAGGCCACTGCAGTGAAGGTGGCTTAGTGGCCCTGCTAAAGGTGATTTTGCCAGCACTATATTTTGTGATAAATGTAAATTTATGCTTCAGTTGATTGACAGAATTTGAACATATAAAAAATTTTAGGAGATTTTCACTTCAACTTATAATACATGATTTTGAAATTCATTATTCAGATAAGGACAATAAATCCAAGTGACGAGATTTGTGCATATCGCCGGCACTTTTATGCTGACTGGATATGACGATTGCCTCTGCATCATGTGACTGATGAGCATTCACAAATTTAGGGATCTTGCAATGACGTGGATACAGGAATTTGGCTAATTTCTTTCCAAAGGCTAAATATGAGTCAAATAGCAGATTTGGGTTGAATGCTGAATGTTTAACCTAGTTTATTGAGGATTAATTAAAGTTCTCTTAGAACCTTGGCTGCCTCACAAAACCCCGGCACCATGGCCAAGCTCATACTGCAGATGCTGCATTTTTTCAGGTCTCTTGAGTTGTTCAGTGTTTTTATTGGCTGCTAATCTTGACTTTCATGATAAACTACTATTAATTTAGCTTTATCCTTACTAATAATAGGTTTCCCCCCTATTTTGTGTGCGTAGTGTTGGCATTTGAACTAATTATATTTTCCCCCCTTAAAATCCAGTATGAAAACTTAAAGATGTCTACAACTAGGGTTTAAATATGATTTTCTACCATTTTCTTGACCAGGGAATGCTAAAACATTTTTATCAAACATTATTCAAAACGTGTCTGGGAAGGTGTTTTTGGATGAGATTAACATTTGTATTGGTAGTTAAGTAAAGCAGATCACCCTCTCTAAAGTTGGTGGCCCTCATCCAATCAACTTTTGAATAGCACAGATTTTTGAATAAGAGGAACCTTCAGCTGCTTCACTGTTTGAGCTGGACATTGGCTTTTTCCTGCCCTGGATTAGAATTTACACCATAGTTTCTCTTTGTTCTCAGTCCTTCACTCTTGGACTGGAACTACACCATTGACTTTCCTGGGTCTCCAGCTTGTTGACTACAGATCATGGGACTTCTGAGCATCCATAATTGCATAAGCCAATTATTTATAATAAATCAATATCTACCTATCTATCCATTTATCTCCCCTATATCTTTCTCATATTATCCTTTTATAAAGGAGAATCTCTCTCTCTCTCTCTCTCTTTCTATCTCTATCATCTTTCTCTCTATCATCTATCTATCATCTATCTATCTATCTATCTATTATCTATCATCTATCTATATCTATCATCTATCTATCATCTATCTATCATCTATCTCTACTCCCCTTAACGGTGTGGGTTACCACTAAGGAAGGCTAGATGTTAACCCCTTGGAACAATGCTTCAGAGCTGTTTCACTGAAGGATGGTGAAGCCAAGACATTTACCCATGAATTCCCATCTCCCAAGGGTTTCTTTGGTGCACAGTTTTCCCCACTTGCAGGTTATATCTGCATGTAGCTCAGCAGCCTTGTGCAACTTTGGGATATGGAGAGACAAGTGACCCTGCTTGGCTTGGAAGCATTTGCAGTTGTGAGTGGAGCTGTCCACCTCGATGGTACTGAAGTTGCAGGATTGAGAAGATGCTGTGTGTTTTCCATCCCAAGGATCTACTTACTACATAAGTGTAATAAAACTACTGGGTTATTTATAAGATTATAGGGCATAGTTTTATAATGCAATGGAAATCTCTGTGAAGAGGTAGATTTTTGTCTATTTTCTTTATGGCTATGTTTTCTTTGCCTGATACATAGAAGAAAACAGTACATTTTTGTTGAATGAATAAATATAAAATCAGGTTTATAAGCTCACATTATCCTCTTATAAAGTATATAATAAGGTTTTTAAAAATGTGTTTCTAAGAGGTAGTCTACTTCAACAGTTTGTTCCTCAATTCTTTGTCACCTGGCTTCTTTCCTCCTTGAAAAAAAAGGGGGGGAGTGAAAGGTGAGCCACAGGTTCTTCTGCCCACCTGGAAGTGACCACTGGTATGACTAGTGCTGAGCCCTGACAAGATGGCCATTGCCCTGGGTTGGTGATCTTGGGACCTGAGGCAATGAGATACAGGACAAGAGGGAATCATTAAAGAGGCCTAAGCAAGGGCAATGGGGAGCCACTTTCATTATATATTTGAATGATAAGGGTTTGGATGCTCACCTTGCTATTTAATTTTTATCATCTGATTCTGTGATAACCTGACTCTGTAAAGTTTAATCAGAATGTGAATTGGAGTGGCTTTGCCTTGTTTTTAATCTTGACTACTCTTTCTCTCTCAGGTTGCAGAGGAAATCTCTCAGTGCACTGGCTGGTGGGATAGAAACACATTCTTTTCCAAGAAAGGACTTTGTGTAAGCTTAAAGGAGTTTATTAAATTAGTATGTGGGATATGATTTCATTTAAGTAATAAAAGCTGCAGCTGCTTTAAAGAAATGAAGCTGTATTACACTTGACCTTCAATCTCCAGCTCCACTAGCACAGGTGCCCCATTCTGTTGATGCAGGGCTCCTGGAAGGCCTTCTTTGGGAAGGAAAACCAGCCAGGAGACAAATGTGCCTTCCTGGCTCTCATACTGTACATGTTGGCTCTTCACTAGCAGAGGGTGGAAGCCATGGATCTCATTACTGCAGTGCATTAAGGGCCAAGGGGAAAAAATCCAATTTACTGCTGCCTCAGTGACTTTGTGTTTTAATCAAATGGCTAAGAAAGAATCATTAACTGATGCTCAGACTGATTAAAATTCCAGTGAGAAGGGAAAGAAGTAAGATTGTGACACAGCCTTAGAAGGTCACTCTTTTCCTGGCAGTCCTGAACCTATAGTCTCACAGTGTTGATTGTTACCAATTTGTTTACAACAGGGAGTGGGAAGCCTGTTCGCCATCCCTTCGCTCAGGGCCCTCGCCACAAAGGGTGATGCCTATCCTTCCTGGAATAATCCAGCGAGAGCAGATTGTATAAATCTCCTTCTGTGCACTGATAAAGTTTCCTTTATCCTGCACCCTTGAATCTTGATTTAAAATCACAGGAACTTTTAAAGATGTGGCCACAGTAGTGATTACCTGTGTATTTGCAGGGTCATTGAAGATAAGGAAAGATGCAGCTACTGCATTCAAAAGCACTCTGAAAGCTATGAAGTACTTTCAGATTTAGAGTGCCTGTTATTATTGTCATTATTATTACTTTCATCTCTATCATTACTATGATTACCGCCACTGCTATTATGAGGTTTAAGATTGCACAAACTTTTTCACATGGCTTGTCTGCTTGGCAGGCAGAAACCAGAGGGACAGCTGGTGAATGGAATTTTCCTTCCTGATTTTCGTGCAGCTGACTCTAGGTGCAGCCTCAGGGCCCCAGGAGAACTCATGCAGGGGAGGAGATGGAACCCTGAGCAGTTTTACTGACACATCCATTTGGAGGCAAGAAAGATGCTTATGCCGTAGAGCAGGTTGGTAAACTTTGTTCATTTGTTGTTCACTCACTCACGCCTTTCTTCCTTATTGCTCCAATAGTGAGTGCCTACTATGTGTCAGGCACACGTCCCATCTTCCAAGAGGGGGAAAAGAGGAACACCTACTCCTTAGGGTAGTAAGAACCCCCAAGGCCTGGAAAGATCAGCTGTGCCCAGAGGACAGTGCACCAGGGACCTGTGGGGACCGAGAAGTGGAGACAGCCACATGAAGATGTGGTGAGGGCAGACAGTATTTAGGGAGTAAGTTGAAAATGCATGACTCCGAGAAAGATTTGAAATAGTTTTTAGAAAACACAATTTTTTTTGAATTTTTGTTTTATTTTAATTTTCAATTACAGTTTACATTCAATATTATTTCGTGTTAGTTTCAGGTGTACAGCATAATGGTTAGACAATCATATGCTTTACAATGTTCCCCCCAATATTTCCAGCATCCACCTGGCACCACTCATAGTTATTACAATATTACTGACTGTATTCCCTTTGCTGTACTTTAGACCCCATGACTATTTTATAACTACCAATTTGTATTTCTTAATCCCTTCACCTTTTTCACCCAGTCCCCCAATCCCTCCCCTCTGGCAACCATCAGTCTGTTCTCTGTGTCTATGAGTCTGTTTCAGTTTTGTTTGTTCATTAATTTTGTTCTTTAGTTTCCACATATAAGTGAGCTTATATGGTATTTGTCTTTCTCTGACTGTCTTATTTCACTTAGCGTAATACCCTCTGGGTCCATTCATGCTGTTGCAAATGGTAAGATTTTATTCTGTTTTACGGCTGAGTAGTGTTCCATTGTGTAAATGTACCACAGCTTTTTTATCTACTTGTCTATTGGTGGGCACTTGGGTTGCTTCCATATTTTGGCTTTTGTAAATAATGCTGCAATGAACATAAGGGTGCGTATATTCTTTTGAATTAGTTTTTGGTTTATTCAGATATATACCCAAAAGTGCAATTGTTGGGTCATAAGGAAGTTTCATTTTGAAATTTTAAGGACCCTCTATACTGAAACAGGGACAATTTTTAAAAAGTGAAATAGAAACAGGATATACAATGGACTGGCAAAATGCAAATTAGGCCCAGAGGCCAAAGTCAGTGGAAAAACAAAAGTAAAGAGGTATAGGCTATAGTGTTCCACAGACTTGCTGTAGTTGAATAAAAAGCTGGACTTAGAGCTGTGTGAGGGCCATCATGGGAAGGGATGTATGGTGCTTATTTGGTTTCCATTTCTCAGAGTCAGAGAAATAGCCTATCCAGCTTAGTGGTATGATTTTGATAGAAGCAAAAAGGACTTCTATGCTTGTCTGTTTGGGTACCATCTTGAAAGTCTATGAAATTACCCTTAAATCTTTCCCACCATGTTGGAGTCTGCAGTTGTCTTTGTTTGGAGTTTTTAGCTTAAACCCAAGTCTGAGGTTGTGATTTCTCTAAGGTGATCACACATCTGGTAAAGGGAGACTTCCTTTTGGAGACCCCTCCCCCAATCTCTTGTCTTCCTCAGGGGGACAACATGGTCCTTGTATCTCAGTATTTGATGTAAATAACCAATGCTCATGTCATCATTTTGCTAGTTAAAAAAAATTCTGTTCCTAATTAGAGTCTTGGTATTTTTATTTTTAAAAGAACACCAAGGTAATTGTGATCATAAAAACCCTCATGTGGGGACTCTGGCAGAGATGAGAGAGGCTGCTGAGCCCACCCTGGCTGCTGCAGCTGCCTTCCTTCCACCAGCCATGAGTGACATGGGACAAGCCCTTCTGCCCATAAGTGATGAATTAGATTGTTGCCAGGAAGCAGAAGAGTAAGAGGGAAAGAGAAAGCTGTTCCAGCTAGAAAGGATATTCTGTTGTATTCTCTCCCCAGCGGCAGAGTATGGCTTTCAGGTTGAACAAGTCTCGTGCTAAAGGGGGTGCCAGCTGCATGCAGTCTCTTGGCAGAGACACACTGTGCAAGAAGGGCAGATGCGCAGGCCCAAGTAAGATTGCTTAAGTGTGGTTTATTCTTAAATTAATTTGTTTTTTGTTATAACAGCAGTTCAAACTCATAGTAAACTCATAGCACTCTATCTGTCCACAGGCAGTGGGATCCAACGTTGGCTGAGCTGGGTGGTTTATTGGTGCCAGGCTTAGCACCCACTTTAAAATGAGGATCCTCTCACCACTGGAGAGGGAGTCCAAACACCCTGCCAGGGCCTTCATTGATGTGACCAGCTTCTCTCTGGGTCTCTTTTTCTGAGCCTTCTCTCCCACCTCCCTTCTGGTTGGCGTGCTGTTTTCCTCACATCTGCTCACATCTGCTGAGTCAGCTCCAGCAGTCCCGAGGCCTGGGAGCCTCCACTCTCCAAGGCGATTCCAGTCCCTTTGCTCTCTTAATTACAATGCTTACAGGTGTCATAGGGTTGTCCTTGTTCTCAGAAACTATGAGCCAGTCCTGGGGATTGGGAGTCTGTGGGGAAGTGTGAATAATGAAACAGTGCTCTCCATTGAACACTGTGTGTATGCTGGTTACTCATTGACAAATTTCTTTTCTCAGGATGATGCCTCAGGGATTTAAAGTCCTCCCTTGCAGTGTTTGGAAATGATCGTGAGTGCTTATCGGACATTAATGGGCTCCCTAATGTGCCAGAGAGCTGGTGAGGCAGGAGCTGCAGAGGAAAAGAACAAGCAGTGTCACAAGAAGAGGTGAAGTCCTCCTGGGAGGCAGCTTGAGGTGCTTTTAGCCCAGTCCTGGCTGAGGCTGGGTGAGGGATCAGGGAAGACACCGGGTGTCCATCAGGTGAGCCCAGGGAACAGGGATTCACCTGAAGGAAGTTAACTGTATGTTGGGACTTCTCACATGTGCTCAGATGTTTACTTTCCATAATTAGAAACTGATTTTAATTTTTTTCTTTGATAGTGTGCCATTCATTAGATTAGGTAATCTGATTTTGAGGGAATATATTTCTACCTTCATCGGATGCCTCCATAAAGCTAATTCCATTTTCAATTAAAAAAAAGTGGTTCACACACACCTTTTTTCCCCCTTCTGAAGTGTGTATCCTACAAAGCAAGTTTGCTCACCATGCTCTATGGGACGTCTATTAAATATTACCTGAGATATTCCTAGAGGGTGGCTCAAATGACATCGCTGGTCCCCATTATTGTTTCTTACAATGATCTGATAGATTTTTTCACGTCTGTAGTAATTTCCATTCATGACAGGAATGAAATGGTGTTTCACATTCCTAGGAATGTGTTAACAAGGCCAGGCACCACTGTACTTTTGATTTTTTTTTTGAGTTCAATGTTTCTCTCTTTAAATCATTTGAGCTAGCCTTATAAACACTTTAATGAGCATATGCCTTATCTTATAAAATTGGTTTGGTTTTCAACTTAGCAAAAATCAATTTCCCCTCCACCCACCATTCTCCCCTCCTTATGAAACAAAATCCAATAACAGTGGTCTGCTTCATTTACTCTGCGTACGGCAGGATGAACAATTGAGTTGCCATTATTGCGGGGGAGGGGGACTCTAGTTCTTAATCAGCCTTCAAGTTTTTAAAATTTCAGTAGAAATTGTATCTTAATAATAGCTTTTGATATATACTAAGTCCTGAGAAAGCACTTTTAATTTTATTATCATTTCTATAGTGGTGAATCGTGAAATATTTAATGTTGGCAGTGAAACAACGCCAGGTGTTTCCTCCATTCAGCAGCCTTGGTACTTGAGTTCTGGCTAAGAAAGAATTCACATCCAAGACTCAAACTGTAAGAGAAAGTTCACTTAGAAAGTCACAGAGATCAAAGAAGTGAGCTGTAGAAGAAATGGGCTCAGGAAATGAGTTATGGAGGCAAAAGAAAGACCCTTGGAACTTAGGGGGGAGGAGAGAGAGAGAAAGAGAGAGAGATAAATGCCTTGAGAGACAAAAGGGAAGAAAATCGTGGGCGTGCTCCAGAAAAAGAGAGAGGAAGAACACACACTGTCCCTATTTTAAGGTCTTTTATCTGGAGGTCTCAGGGTAGGATATCAATAGATTAGTCATCAGCTTTCCTGGGGTGCCCCCTCGGGGTTGTGGTCTCCACTGATTGGTTGACACCAGGGCAGGGGATCATTGGTCATCAAAGCTGGTCCTGATGTCAGTTGTGGTGTCTCTGTCTGATTTTGCTGCTTCTCTGGGTCTGGAGCTGAAACACAGTTGAAGCCTAGATGTCCTCTCCAGGGGTTAATGCTTAAGGGAGAAGTCATGCAGGACTTGTAGTTTTGCCTGTGGCTAGGCACCCGGGGCTCTCCACCCTGGTGACCCTCTGCACCTGGCCTATAGTGCCTACTCTGTGCATGCTTATCTAACTACCTACTACATTTAAGAAGATTATAACATGGCTTTTATAAACATTGTGATTACAAGAATATAAACTCTTTTTCCTCTTTCACTTTTGATGGAAAAACACTAGTATATCATAGTAGCTACACTTAACCTTTAAAACTCCCTGCACATCCAACCATTTTCATTAGTCCAGTAAATGATACTTATTTTGTGTAGAATTATAACAATTAACTTATTTGGTCCAAGAATCCACATCATGGATTAGCCACATATATTAAACTAAATATTTAATCACCTCTGATGTTTACAAAGAAAAACTTCAGATACCTAATTTATATTTCTGTTTGCTGTTCTATCCTCACATGGCCTGTTCAGAAGGATTTGGGGGTGCATCAGCAATGTTCAGTGCATGAAGAACATGATTTTATTCTGAATCAGACACCACCCTGGTGTGAAATGTAAGTTGTGAGCTCAAACATAAAGTGTATCAATGAAAGTGTTCACCATGCTACCCTTGCCTTTTTCCCACCTCCTCCCTCTCACCTGGTTAGAGTAGCTCTGAGGTGCCCCATTCCAGCCCATTCTTACAGCTTCAGAGCACCCTTCTAACTCCATGCAGCCCCTCCCCCAGGGCTGTGATAGTTCTCTAAATCAAAATGGTTCTTCCCCAAACTCGTAGCTTAGAACTCAAGAGCACTCATGCTCTTACCCACCTGATCCGGGGACTTCTCTCGCAGTGATTCTGCACTTCCTCACACACCTGGGTGTGTCCTCACCTACCTGGGTGCCTTGGCCAGCACCTGGATATTCACCTTCACCCCCCTCAGTCCTGCCTCTTGAAATCCTACTGATTACCTGAGAGTCATTGAGAAGGCTCAGTACCTTCTTCTATTTGCCTACAATGATGCCACACTATGTACTGTATACCAACTCATCTTCCATGGAATCCCCATGGCTGTTTATGTTTTTTCACCTTCTTGTCATATATCAATATTTATAACATCTAAAGCCTTTATATCTATTACTATATTCTCTGTATCTATATATCTATATCCATATCTATATAGCTATCATTTATATCTATATAATCTATATTATCTTCATACATGTACTATATATATAATTTAAGTTATTGACCTTAAAGCTCTGGACATTACTACAAACTGAATCGTGCCCCCCCTCCCCCCAATTTATATATTGAAGCCCTAACTCCCTATGTTGATTTATTTGGAAATAGGGCTTTTAGGAGGTAATTAAGTTTAAATGAAGTCATAAGGGTGGGGTTCTAAGCTAGTCGGATTGGTGGCCTTACAAGAAAAGAAAGACAAAGCACAATTTCTCTCCTCACAGGCATACACCATGGAAAGGCCATGTGAGGACACAAGGAGGCGGCTGTTTATAAGCCAAGGAGAGGANGGAGGTAATTAAGTTTAAATGAAGTCATAAGGGTGGGGTTCTAAGCTAGTAGAGGGCCCTGACCATACTCCACTATGCTGGCCCCTGATCTTGGACTTTCCAGCCTCTGGATTTGTGAACTAAATGTCTGTTCTTTCTGTCACCCAGTCTGTGGTATTTGTTATGGCTGCCTGAGCTGACTAATACATTAAACATAGTAAAATCAGTCAACATTCATTCAACAAGGGAGGACTCTATGTACTTGGGGGGAAGTCATTTATTCCCACAATTAGATTGGAGAGGTGACAGAAATGCAGACATGCAGTTTCTGAATTTTCTATTTCTTTTTCTTTACTGCAGATTAGTTTGACCTTTAGCCATGACATGCTTACAAATTGCTCCAAATCACAAGGTCTGTGAGGAAGCCGTGATGATCATTCAAAGGATTTATTTTTCTACCCCTGGCTCTATCCATCTGATTACATTGTAACCAATATTTGCTGCCATCCCTGTGGACAAAAATTGTTCATAAACAAAAAGAAATTGCACAGCCTTGGAAGAAATCAACTTGGTAAATGGGCTATGTTTTCCCCTCTAAGCAACAGAAAACTTGTAAAACACTTTATTATGCTTAAAAGGGGCGGGTGGGAGAAGAAAAGAAAGAGGAGGAACTTCTGGTCACTGGAAACACTATTGGAAACTGTAAGTGTTCAGGCCAATAATGTGACATTCTCTCCTGCTGAGGGCTTGTTTTAATAGGGTGCGTGATGGTGTAATGCTCTTTCTCCCACTTGGGACACTTTAAAGACCTATTAATTAATAAAAACAGCTCTGTCAGCAAAGCATATACACGAGTCAACTGGCATTGATCTATTCTGAAAGCAGAAAACTTGGCAACCACCAGCTATCAATAACGAGGGTGAGGGTCCTTCTCCAGTGTGTTGCTTTCCCCAGGGTGTAAGCCACCTCTGCACATTGAAGAGACAAACATGTGCACTTGCTTAGGTTGTCTTTCTTGTGATGAAGTGAAAGGGGAATGCAAATTACTCTGGAATTGTTTAGAAGAAATTGAGGGACCCTGCAATGGTCATTACCTAGCAAGGAGTGGGGCAACTGTGCAGGCCAACGTGGACTGTCCCTGTCACCTGGAGTGCACTGCTGTCTCCTGTGCAAATGGGATGGCATTTGTGTATTAATCTTCCAAACCCATCTCCCGTCAGTGCTCTCGACTTTTTGTATGTCTATCTTTGTACTGCTCTTATACATCCTGATCAATTCCATCCTGGATCAATGCCACCATCTGTCACAAGTGGCCCCATGCATTCTGGGAAGAAAGACACACAGGAGATTTAGAATATTTTATTTTTGTCTGTTGGGACTCCATAGGAGCTGAGAAAGTTGTCATCTCTGGTTTGGCTCAAAAAGGAACATCCTGAATAAAGAAAGAGAACACCCCCTTCCATCACTGCAACACACCACAGTCTCCTCCCCATTT